AACAAACACTTACTATTCTCTTAAATTTTGACCATCCTTCACTTTGGTCTTTCCTTATTTTTTATTATTTTCCTTTTCTTTGTTATTATTCGCTTATTTATTTATTTCTTTATTTTATTTATTTTTTTTATAATAAAAAAGTATATAAATCTTTTAACTTTAATTTTTTTTTTTTTTTTTTTGTTCACTTTACAAAAAAATAACGAGTTCACTTGACGTTCTTTCAACTTAAAATCCTCGTCCAATGAACTCGTATTATATTTGTCTGTTTTTATTGTTCACTCCGTTTTATTTATTATTAAACGCACCCGTTCTCATTGCATTCGACAACTGTACTCACGAATTGAACTTTTCACCGCGCGTGAGTTGAATTCGTCCCACTGTACAGCCGCTGCCGGGACGCCTTAACGGCCCTTCGACGCCGACGTCGACTGCGCCGCACGTTTGTGCACACGTGTGCAAGCGTGGTCTCGATGTCGTCCGGCTGCCGCGCGAGCTGTACTTTTTCGGCCGTCCTTTATCTTTCCGTTGTCTGCCTTTTGAGCTCGACTTTGCACATATTTTGTCGCCTAAATCTTGCAGGTGTTCATTATATCGTCCGACACAGGGTATGAAAATGCCCTTGTTAGGGTATGCCTGACTACCTAATACCCTAGATTTGCAATTTCACCCATATGTGACGCCTTATTTTTTCCTACTCCTCTGCTAGGGTACATACTCTCTGGGGTATGCCAGACCAAAAACACCTTGTATGCAACTTTTTTCCCTGAAAACACTTATTTGGGCATACTTGCGGGGCTTTAATCCGCAAACATGCCACGCCTGCTCGGGCGCCACTTGTAAGGAACCTACTGGCCGGGGTGCAACTCTCAGTCTTACCAGGACCAGCAATCTACAATACGTTTGTTAGTTTGCTGGGATAGAAGGTTTAGAAGGGGGAGGAAGTGTTTTAAACGAACTATGACTCCTACTACTTTCATAGGATAGGGAGGAAGATGCATACACATGACCGGGATTGCTCACGCGGTCAGCAGACCAGGCCCCGATTCACACACACACGACCGGGATTGCTCACGCGATCGTCGGGCTAAGCCCTGATTCAGTCATGCATGGCCGGGATTGCTCACGCGATCGTCAAACCAACCCAATTTACACACACACACGACCGGGATTGCTCACGCGATCGGCAAACTAACCCAATGCACGCACACACGCGACCGGGATTGCTCACGCGATCGACAAATTAAGTCCTGGTTCACACATACACGGCCGGGGTGGTTAGGAGAGGAGGTTATGTTGAATACTGGTTAACTTCGGGGTCCGAAATTAGTATTAATTGAAAACAAACAGATTAACCGACTTTCCTTTCTAGTTTCCTTTATTCATCGGGAATCCTCAAGCTAGGATCGGGCGCAGTCCCAACAACAGAAACTTCCGAGTAGACGACCGAAGTGCGGGTGACTTCCCGCCGGAAGAAGCGTACGCTAAAGTACGCGAAGGGGCGTACCTAAATCTCAAACGGTGGGACACGGAGTGTAACGGCAAGGACGCCATGAACTCAGTCAAGGACTTCGGTTTCCTACTAGAACTCCTGCAGAGACACTGACGGCGGCGGTCCCAGGCTAACATCCAAATTAGTAGGCTGGGTGGGCAAAGGTGTGGAAATGCGTACGGAGATTATTTGTAATTGTTTTGTCTGTTCTAAATGTTCTAACAATAATCTGCGTAGTGTTGTTCAATTTGATATTATCGGCAGCGTCGATATTTTTTTGTTTTATGGTCGGGGTATCGGGGGGTTAAATCGAGCGCATAAAATCGGCCAAATAGCGTGAGGCTGGCAACGCCACCTTTACGATCTAGTACGCTGAACGGGTAGATAGTGGAAGAGCGTCGTCAATTGTCTACCCGATTCGCTCAGAGAGAGAGTAGAAGGGGAGCGAATCGGGTGGCTTTGTAATGCCCTTGGCCTTCTGGGCCGTTGACTCAAAACATACAGCTATGCATATGGGAAGCAACGGTGACCACTGTTGAATGTATGCGTGTGCCGAAATTCGGCACCGATAATGTTGCTGCCCACGTAAACAGTGAGCGGGGAGCTTGACTTTGTCTGTTTTTTTTTTAGTAGCCTGCGACAAGTTTCAATTTTTATTCAAAAAAAATGGTGTTTGAACTCAGTTTTAACTAGCGTGGCCGATTACATTTTTACAGCCCCACTCACAGCCATGCCTTAGTGGCGCAACAGGAAAGAAGAAGAGGCGAACTGCAACGGGCGCGTGAGTGACTCGAAACGATCGTTCGAAAAGTAGGTTCTTATATTCTTCTTTGTTTATCAAGATATTTTGAGAAAACTTGGCAATTATAAGTTTTACTATGCTCCCTCTATTTATGCAAAATATTATTTATATCGGATCACTATATCATACAGATGTCATAGGAACAATCGGTTGAAAAGTAAGTTGTATGAAAAACTTTTTCAATATATCTTAACCATACTCGGCATTAACTATTTTTCCTGTGCATCTTGGATACAGGCAAAGCACTATGAGCATTATAGAAAAGTTGGGTCTGCAAGGGTATTAAATATTCGGCGTGCCGAAGATGGCTCTTCTTTCTCGTTTTAAATTAAATTTTAAAGTAGGCAAAATGCAAAAAAAAAGCTAATCTTAATTATACAGTTGTCTGTCTCTGTCTTATTTTTGAACAATTCAGAGGGGAGCCAGAGTTAGACTGCCTTTCGGGTTCCCTGGTCCCTGCCTCTAGACTGGGGTTGTAAAATGCTTTTGGAACGGACTCAGTCTGGTTTTTTCTTCTTCGCCTGTTGGAGCTCTGCCTTTTGTGGCTCGATTTTTAGTCTTTCTTTTGGCGCCGTAGGCCGTAGCATCTCCGGCATGGGAAATTTTGGGAGGGCCTGGCTGGCGTCCTTCGGCGTGGGATTTGGCCACTTTGCGTTATTCAGTCTTATATGCCATTTATATACTATAATTCCAGCAATGTGTTTGCACTTAATAAATTTTACTTTATAATACACCCCGTTGTGATTAAGTTTGCCTTTAATTTTATCAATATACGACAGTGCTTTATTTGTGGCCGACGTAAAATAAAACACTTATGTATCTTTCGAGTCCGGCACGCCCGCCGTTGACCGCTGACAAAGTCGAACTCTCGTGTTGCTATGGGCAGCAACGAAACTTATGCCGAAAATTTGCCTAGCTATACAATAATATCTACGGTACATTGCTACCCATAGGCTACCCATCGGGCGGGCATCCGCCAATGCTCTCCCACCTTTTTTCGCTCAAGAGTGGATTCTGAGCTAGGCGTTGCCACCCTCTAGCTAATTGGGAGCCACTGCGCGCCTGACTTCACCCCCGATACCCTGACCATGCAACAAAAAAAGTATATATCGACGTGGCCGATAATATCGAACGCAACTAAGACAAAACGGAATATCGAGGCTGCCGATAGTGTCAAATACAACATAGTTTGAGCGCAAAGAGATAATCCAAAGGTTGTGGCCACTGCCAGGAAAACATAAAAAATCGTAAAACTCAAATTCAAGTCCGCACTATTCAATATATATGCATATATATGTCAAAATATTACTTTTTATCCCTTTAGTCAGGCAGGGTAAGGCAATTAAAACGATTTACATAATCTGTTTATGATAATTTTGACATACCTGTTGCAGCGTGGTAATATATACATATGTATATATATATATATATATATATATATATACGTGTGTAGTTTTTTGTGAGCCAATTGCTCTCTTAATTAATAATTATAATTTTACCATGTGGTTTCCAGCAGCGGCTAGCAAAAGCTTTCGGTGACGTTTTTGACCATCAATAATGCCGTAAGAGAAATGTTCCTTAAAAAGATAAAAAGATTTGAGAAATTTGAATTCTTTATTATAACTTTAAGAAATTGCAATATTGACAATAGAAAGAATGTCCGGCTAATTATTCATTGGGTGGGGAGAGAAAGGCATGATTGCCGAAACAGGCTGATGTAGGCCGACAAGTGGCCAATATGTGGATTTATAGTGTCTTGTTTTTTGTTATTGGATTCTAACCTATGTTGTCGTTTGTTTTTTTAGTCTTAGCTGTTTATGTTGTTCATTTTTATTAGTTCGTTTTGTTGTATTGTTGTTTAAGTCCCTGCTCCACAGAGTTTTAATGTAGCGGCGTTGATATCGATTGTGCTAACTGCGGACCAGGGATGGGGCTACCCCTTGAGAACCAACGAGCCAGCTGGCGCGGTCCAATCGGAAAAAGCACGTCCATAACAAATGGATAAAAACACGATAATGTATGACCTGCATAACCTTATTCAGTCTATGTCTCTTCATCTGCGGGCTGTATTGGATGCTAATGGTCAATATGCCAAATATAGCACTACCATAGCTATAGTTTCCTATATTTAGTTACATATACAATAATAGTTTTAATTTTGCAAGGAATTAATTGACTGCGCAATATTTGCCGAATTGAGGTTTTGTTTGTTTTTTTACTTTTGAGTTTGAATTTTTGTGCTTTATGTATATGAAGATTGCTTAAAATAATAATGATATGGGAAAAAAATACTTAAGAAAAACTTGTTTATGTCGGTCAAATATAAGTTTAAAAATTAATTAGTGCGATGTTATTCATTTTGCAAACAATTACTTGACAAACTGTATATCAAGATTTATTTTATATATGCAATTTTGAAAAGTATGTATATATAATGTTAAGTTAGTTTTTTTTGCCGAAATTGTCTGCGGAATTTTTGTGCGATTAGATCTTAAATCTCGTGTGCACTGTCTTTGATATACAATATATCATTGGAGTATCTAGTCATTTGTCATATATGCAGGAAATACGCTATATCAATTATGCTAGTGTAGTACAACAATTGTTTTCTGTAAGGTAACGAATAAATACTCACTCATAGTATGTTCCGTATTAAATCAAAAGTTCAAAAACTAGTTCATATATTCAAATGAATCAGTTATAAAATGTATCATTTGTACAAGTGAGAAGTATATGTTTGTATATTAAAAAAATAAGTATGGAACGTAATAAAACTAATGTCCCTAATAGGGGTCAAAAAAAAGTATTACTGGGTGCAGAACTCTTTGCTCTTGGTACCAAAAGTGTTCGTGACGATTCTAAGACGAAAATATTACCAATAAAAGGAATTCAAGGATCTAGCTCTGCCTCCACAGAGAGAAAAAGAGATGCTTCATCGAGCATTGTCAGTCATCCCAATAAAAGATATCGTGCAAGCCTTAAAGATGGTTTCCCCGACATGACCACCACAGCCGGGATTGCACACCACGAAATATGGGAACAATTGCCTGATGAGTGTGATATAGCAAATGTAATAGACTGCATATACGCTGCGATCGAGCAAAACGATAATGAAGTCGTACGAATTATCTGTGGAGTCATTAGGCACGCAACATCAACATCCCTTGCTTCCCGGGCTAAGGTGGATAGCGTCGCATATTTATCGCTGTTGTACCTTGCAAAACTGCATCCACATTTCTTCAACAGTGATATTGTTGCATATGGACTTTTGTCTTTTTTGCGTCGAGAGACTAATATCAAAATGCGATACAATATAAATCTTCACATACTTATAACAAACCTACTTAGTCGAGGCTTTTCAGATATATCACAATGGCCAGAAATATTCTTGCGGACTTACGTTGATGATGCCGTCAATGAACGATTTTGGGCAGACAGTGACTACTGTGCGCCGTTTGTTAAAAATATTTGTGCCGCTTTTAAAACACGAACTCCTCATCTAAGCCTTCTTCGTTGGGATATGAACACAACAGTAACTTCAGGCCAACCGCATAGAGACAATTTTACTGTCGATGATGATTCAGGTGATAACTCGACTCAGAGCTTAGATGCAAGTCCTTATTTGCATTTGGAATCAGATCAGGCAGCTGATTCAATTTGTTTAGTAAAGCGCAGATTTGCAGATAATACTGTTCAAAAGCTAGTAGGCGACGCTATCCGAGATCAACTAAACAAACGTCAGCAACAGGATAATTACACCAGAAATTTTCTCAAATTTCTTTGTACCTGCTCAGGAATCGGTGAAGTTCGCTGCCTTAGTATCTCTCGGTTGGAACTATGGATTCATAACGGAAAACTTGTTAAGTTCGCCCAGCAATTATTATCATATATATGCTTTAATATCAAGGGAAAAAACATTCAAGATAACGAAGTCCTTCAAGTATTAGTTAAAATGCGTTTAAAAACTAAACCACTTATCAATCATTATATGTCATGTCTAAAAGAGATGATACATTTGCAGCCAAATATATTAAGTACCATTATGAAACTTGTCGTACAAAATGAGCTGTCCAATACAAGAAATCCAAATAACATGGGAATGCTTGGTAAGTAAAGATATTTTTGCAATTTGTTAAGATTAGAAATAAGTTAACAATTTTCGTTTAACCTGCTACATCTTTAGAAATTTAACGAGTAGCCGTCAATGCTCGGTTAGGAGTTGCCTTCAACACAGCACCCAAACTTGATGTACGCGAGGCATATAAGGACCTATGTTTCAAATTTCAAGTGTAGCCTCTTATAGTTTCCGAGATCGACGCGTCATATGTACATATGGGCGACGGTCAACATGGCTAGATCCACTCGCTGGCCAAGAGTACATTTACCTTATGGGCTTTGAGAAGTCTCCTTTCACATGTATAAACACAAAGTCTTTGTTAGCAATGGATTGAGGATATAGATTAGTCGGGTGCAACTGCTGTATAATACATGCTTACTGTAAAATGCTGGTGTTATTAAAGAAATAACGGGTGTAAAATCCGACTGCTGTGACTTGGAATGAGGTTAGAGTGGCGTGACTTGAATTTGTATGGCCATTACCCAAAATTCAATGGCATCTAAAATAATTGCGTTTGTATTGGAAAATATATTTTTTTTCGACGTATTTCGTATACGCGATATGCATCCCAAGCTTCAGCTGCGTCTAAAAAAATTAAATTCACAAACATCAAGACGGAAGACTAGCCAAGTTGCTAGAATGGAAAGAAATTGCCGTCCCTTTGATTAACGAACAAATACAATAATTATAAATTCGTGCATACACCTGTCCATACAAAAGTCAATAAGTGTAATTATACACAGTTTCTTAATTGAATCAAGCAACTATTCAAATCAGTTAGTTAAAATTCCAAGAACGTATAAGCCTAATTCTGTCGTATACTAAATTAAAAAATTTGTTAACCAAAAAAAAAAAAAAATAACAAGAATAAGAACGTTGCTGTTGGGTGTAATCCACTGCGCAACACTCCTTCAAAGCCCAACTGTATATTTAGTAAATTCAATCATTTAATATTATATTCATTGAGTTAGTGACCGGTGCCTTAATCAATTTAAAAAATGCCTAAAATAAGCTAAAATATATTAAAATGATTCAATATTCCGATTGTCGGAAATGCCACGACTCCAGCGGCTAAAGGTTTTTGAAGCAATCCTTGGTAGGTCTCAGAAAATACGAAAACTAAAGACCTGAAATATGAAATATGTATGTTCTCGATACCATAGTTCATTTATGCTTATATCTCATTCCATTTCCAAGATAAATATAAAGATTGAAAAATAAAAGTCTCAGACTTAATTTTTTTCTTAGGCATGACTCAAAATCTTTCGAGCTTTGATATACCAAATTTGGTGTGTATAGTATACACACAGAAGATTTCACTTTTTGGATAGCGGTCTCCATTTCACCTATACGTGTCATACGTGTGCTCTCAAATAAAGATTGGACTATAAACACTGAATATATTCAAGAAAACAATTACCATAGTGTGAAGCATATCGTTATGTGTATAGAATTGAAGCTAATAGCAATTTTTTGCGCGATCCCGATGCAACGTGCTGCATCCCGCCTTATCGACGAATACAAACTAAGAATATAGGCAAATATTATCTATATGCTCAATAGCTTAGAATAGAAGATTTAATACGAGAAACAGAAGACTTCGAGCAGAATACTCTATAATGCTGTTTATAATCACAACAGAGGAACCTGAACGGTTCATGCAAGGCATAGTTAGTTGAACAAAATTGAAGCGACAGAGCTGTATAAAATCGAGTTAGTCTAGTAGGGATAGAGAAGTTCAATTGGGTAGTCAACCCAGAAGAGTCGATTTCACCAGTAATTAACTTGGGAATAAATATAACAAAAATGGTTCAACGGTTAAATAAAGAATGAAAATTTATCATCAGAAGTCAACTGGATTATAACGGTAACCGTACACGAGGATCCCAATTTAAGCCGCGAAGGTCAAACTACAAGAATTGTTTCTGTTCAGAGGTTATGAAAACCAAAACAATTATCCACTACTTAACCTCGCGTAACATTTGTATAATTAAACGAGAAAGAAGGGCTATCTTCGGCACGCCCAAGATTTAATACCCTTGCAGACCCAACCTTTTCATAATGCTAATAGTGCTATGATCGTATCAAGAAGTTAATGCCGAGTTTTGTCAAGATATCTTGATAAACAAAAAAGTTTTTCATACAAGAACCTACTTTTCGACCGATCGTTCCTATGACAGCTATATGATATAGTAGTCCAATGTAAATAAGATTTTGCAAAAATGAAGGGAGCATAGTGAAATCACTAAATGCCGTGTTTGAGCAAAATATCTTGAAAGACAAAAAAATGTTCATTCAAAAACTTAATTTTCGACCGATCGTTCCTATGGCAGCTATATGATATAGTGGTCCGATCCAACTGGTTGCGACATATGTACTGCGTGCAACAGAAGTTCCTAATGATAGACTAAAACTGAGAGACTAGTTCGCATAGAAACAGACAGACGGACTTGCTTATATCGACTCGGCTGTTGATACTGATCAAGAATAAATATACATTATGGGGTCGGAGATGTCTCCTTCTATGCGTTACACATTTCACGACAAAATTATACAACAAACAAGCCACAAGCGTGTGCACCCGATAAAACTAAAATAACCGAGAAGGCAAACAGGTTATGTGAATATTTGTTTTAAAAGCATAAACAGCGGTGGGCACGAAAGACACGTCTGATCGCATGAAGTTTAAGATTCATTTAATGAGTTGACAATTGGAGTCCAATAGGAATAAAAACTATTCTAAATCGATACAAGTTTACTCCTAATGCAAGTTTATTCCAAATCATGTCTTATTTGCTCGTTTAGATTATGAGAGTTTTCTTAAAATGTTATATGCCTTGCCTCTTAACTCTTAACAGTTTGACGCGGATAGCCGGGTGTCTATATTTCTCAATTTTTAATGACAAACCAACTGACACTCGTCCCGCACACTTAACTAAGGTTGTTTATGCATAAGCACTTATTTGATTTCGCATCTAATTTTTGATGAAAATCCATCGTTCAAAAACAGTTTTCTATGCAAACGCGCCTACATTTCCTTCACCAAAAGTAATCATGTAACATTAAATGCTGTAAGAGGTTCTAGTCGGGAGCTCCCGACTAATGGATACCCTGAACCCTCTTCTCCCTACACTAAATGCAGCTCGAGCTTCGCGCTCGATTGCCTTAGTAGTAATAAAGAAAAATTAAAATTAAAAAAAAAATTGTTCCCTTGGCAGGGTTCGAACTCGCAACTAACCGCACTACTTGCCGCCGCCTCTACTCAACAGCCACACCAGCCAAAAAAAAAAAGTTCCCTCGGTTGGTTTCGAACTCACAACAAACCGCACTAGTTGCCGCCGCCTCTACTCAACAGCTACACCAATAATTGAGTCTTAATGAGAAAAAAACGAATTAAAATAGCAGCACAGAAAACAATACAGTCGCAATTGCAATGCTGTTGATAGAATCGGTAGGCTTCGAACTCGCAACAGACCTCCTTACTTGTCGCCTCCTCTACCCAACCGCCACACCAATTATTGAGTCTTAATGAGAAAAATAAAAATAAATAGTAGCACAGAAAACAATACAATCGCAATTTCAATGCTGTTGATAGAATTCAAAGAAGTGTGTGTACATGTATAAAGAAAATTCTTGCAATTTGTGATAGCTGCCGCAAACACGTGGGCAGCCGAAACACATTTTCTTTTGTGTTTCTTACCCGATCGTGATGTAATTTTCATCTTATTGTATTTTAAAATTTAAATTGTGGCTTATATTGGTGACAGATTATGTAAATTGGTTTATTTGGCTTGGTGGTGGAAGCGGGGAGGTGGCGATAGGTATAAAATGAAAGATACAGCTTAATGTATACTATTCTAGAAGCTACATATCAAGTTTGGTGACTCTGGATCTTATTATTTGCCCAATTTGCTCAAAAAACATGATTTCGATATCGATTTTCATCGATTGCTTGGGAACGGGGCAAGTTATCGATTATCGGAAAGAAACTCGATCTGCGCGGGCACTAGGAGGACCTATAGCTAAAATTTCAACTCTTCAGCTCTTATACGTTCTGGATCGACTCGGCTGTTGCTGCTGATCAAGAATATATACACTCTATGGGGTCGGAGATGCTTCCTTCTGCATGTTTACATACATTTGCACAAATACATTATACCCTTTTTACGCATTTTCTATGGGTTCAGGGTATAAAAAAGTTTGAAACACGTCTCAAATTAATTTTCACATAGATCTTTGAAAATGATTTTGCAGCCGATCGAATGGTAATAGAAAATTTTCATACAACCGTTTACCGCCAATTTGCGACCGATGAGGAATTTCCAAATTTGCTAAAAAACGTATTCATTCAGTTCATTTGTAGTGCGTTGAAAGTAAATTAGACCGATCGGACTAAACTTAATGTTTCTCCCAAAAAGTCGGTGACCCGCATTTTCCATAGAATTTTCTTAAAGATCTTTGCGAATAAGCTTCCACCCAAAACTTCGCTCATTCAACATTTGACGCGATTGTACGTATCTGTATCGATATTTATCTCGTTAAATAGGACAACTTCTAAAAAAATTCACAATTACTTTTTGAGTGGTCCCACTATATTTCACTGCACTTTTTGCGGGACTTTAATATAATAACCTAAAGGTACAGTATTTCCATATATATTTAACCAAATAAAAAGCGTGTTTATATTGCACCGTATATTAGTTTCCGTAAACACAACAACAATGGACAGAATAAGATAAATAGTGTTGACATTTGCCCATATCTTGCATTCCTCTACTTCATGCTCTTTTTTTTTTGCGGTGTTTCTACTGTGGGTAAGAATATTTCCGAATGCTCTTGAGGGCTTTAACAGCCTGGGTGAGATCATGCGTTGATTCATTTGTCCACGAGGCCCGAAGGGGAAACATACAAATAGAAAATACTGTTTTTTCCCTGTCGTTTTCTTCAATACTTGTCATCAGTTTTGTTTTTTTAGTTTAGTTTTCTGCAGTCTATAACCAATCTCCTTTGAAGTCCATTTTCGTACTTATCTTGTTTGTTAAGAACCCATGTGGGGTTGTTGTAGAGGCTGCAGCTGTTTAACTTCGGCGTCAAAAGAATTGGCTACGCTCATGGAGAACTGGTAGTATACCTTTGAGTAAAGCGGTTAACCGTTTGTGCTAATCCTAGCTATTGTATTAATATTAAACGGTAGCGCTTTGTTATTTTTTGCGGTTGCTTATTTGGTTTTTTTGATGTTTGATTATGTTGCTTAAAAGTTATTTAACGGTGACAGACGTCAATCCGGATAAAGTTAACTTTTAGGGAGCGTGTATAAAGAGTGGGTTCTAAGCCAATGCCTGATTTAATAATACTTTGGGTGGTGTCAATGGTTGCACTGACTTTTTAAGGAAATCTAGTCCGATAGGACCTTAAAAATCATTCAACGTTTTAATCACAGAGTTTTAACATATTTATGTTTTAACATAGAAACGGCGAATCTTCCTTTTTCCCTACGACCGTGCTGCCGTGGATTGTCTTTACTTGGAAAGGAACCCCTTAATTTTAGTTTCCACTAATTTGTTAGGAATTATCGCGACAGATTTTGATTCGGCCCCACCGGCAGACTTGTGCTTCATAATGCTTCTTGTTAATAAGAAACGTGAGCTGTTTCTGTATTTCGTCGTAATATCTGTTCAGGGTAGTTCGCCTTGTCTCAGAACACATAATATCTGAGTTATGCCATGTACCGGTGGTTTATCTTAAGCGTTAAGCTTTTCTTTAAATTAAAGTTATGTTACATCGGCTCGGGTCAATTCTAACAAATGGGGGATTTGGTGAAATTCCATTTTTTTTGTTTAGCATACGATAGGCGTCAAACTCGTTTTTAATTATATAAATACGTTGTTCAGATTTTTTGAAAATTTTTAAACATCGCCGAAAATTAATTTTATTTGATTAATATTTGCAAAATAAAATTGTGGGTTTAAGGAAATAATAGCCATGTGGTCGTAGATATAAGGTGGCGGTATCTATAAAATGAAAGATACTTGATATATATGTACTATTCAAGAAACTGTAGTTCATATAGGTTCTGAGATCCTTGCGTTCACGGACAGACAGACCAGACGGACATGGCTAGATTTACATTTTGTTACATTTGCACAAATACATTTGACCCTTTTAACCCATTTTCAATAAGCTCCGGGTACAAAAGTTTCAACTATTTTAAAATAAACCAGAAGCTAAAATATAAATTAGTTCTAAACGCTTTTTTAAAATTGAAAAGGTTTTAAAAAACGAACCTCAGATGTAGAAAGCAATTTATTCAAACCCAACTTAAAAGCGGGTAAATGGTGCGATCTATGAACCGAACCACCATCATTTTTTTAGGCAGTCATGATGCTAATAAAAAAAAAATAATTTATGTAAATACTGTAAGAAACTCTTTTTAACTCTTTCAGCTACAATGTTTCAAACTGCTCCGGATCAGTCTGCAGTTAATCTAGCTGAAATATACCAGGAATTTTTACTTCAACGTGACGATTGCTTAAGGACATTACGTGTTTTTTTAAGAGAACTTGTACGAATGTTGCGTTTTGACGTTAACCTTGTAAAGTTTTGTAAAGCTTTTTTAAGTGAAAGGGAAGAGCTGAGTCAACAAATCGAACAATTTGATTTCAAAGAGCGAATATTCAATTCTATGGTTGATATTGTTTGTCTCTGTATGTTTCTATCAGCAACACCACAAGCACGTGAAGGAAGCTTATCACTTAAAACAAATCGTGATGTAAAAAATAATCAAGCCCTAATTAGACTTTACAATCAAATGTCACAAATACAATTGGACTCAGTTTCATGGATGTATGAATCAGTTCCAAACCTTTATAAAATTCAAGGAATTGAATACTACCAGGCTCTACACAAACTGCTTTTGCTTGACATTCCAGAACAGTACTCCCGCTGCGACCAATGGCCATCAGAGCCGGAAAGGGGAGCTATATTAAGAATAATATCAGAAACTCCAATTCATGAAGAGACTTTATTAAGAATTATATTAATAGGCATAACAAAGGATATTCCGTTCTCCATAGCAAATACATTTGATATATTATTGCTTGTTATAAAAAGGGTCTCAGGAATGAAAGCAACCGATTTTCCTGCAGTTCAAGCAAATAAGTTTGACATAATCGACTTTTTGTTTAGTATGTCGGAATATCATCACCCAGAAAACATTCGTTTACCAACGGATTATGAACCACCAAAGCTAGCGATCATTGCGTTTTACTGGAAGGCATGGTTAATTTTATTAATGATTTCTGCTCATAATCCTTCAACTTTCGGGGCATTTTGCTGGGATCACTACCCAACAATGAAAATGCTCATAGAAATATGTATAACAAATCAATTTAGTAGCTGCATCACTCATAAGGATGAACTACAGGTACATTTTTTATTTTAGGCTTAAGCCACGTGTAATATTAAACATTCCTCTATTGTTTGTTTTCAGATAATTACTGTTGAAAGAGATCATATTCTTCAATTTGAAACCTATTTGGCAGCGCAAACTTCTCCACATGCTGTAATTACTGAGGAAAATGCAATTTTGATAACACAGCTAATGTTAATGGACCCTATGGGAACCCCTAGAAAAGTACCTAGTTTAGTTCTGGAACAACTTAAGTTTCTTAATCAAACATACAAGTTAGGCCATTTGTTTTGTCGTTGTCGAAAGCCAGACTTGCTTCTAGATATAATACAAAGGCAAGGTACAACACAATCTATGCCTTGGTTATCTGACTTAGTTCAAAACAGCGACGGTGACTTTAGCCATCTCCCTGTACAGTGTCTATGTGAATTTTTGTTGTTTAATGCACATAGCATTAACGAAGAAAATAGCCGTGATGCAGAATTAGTGAATTTTATAAGAAATCTAATCATGGATTCTAGTTTTAACAATCATGTTGTTTGTGAAGTACTAGATTATATATTCCGACGATTATCGTCAACCTTAAAACAATCTAGAGTTGCCGCTTTATCTGGCTTAAAAATAATTTTCAAGAACTCCGGTAAATATGAAAACGAATGGTTATTAAAATCAATTCAACAAATTCCACATTTTTTGGAGACTAAAATATACATAATCCCACAGCTACGAGCTGCATGCCAAGTCGAGAATTGTCCGGAACTTATAATGGCCTATATACAATTTATTACCGCACATACGCTTAATGATCCAGTTAACGAAATGCTGGACCATGTAATTGACATGGCACAACTAATCGTTGAACGTAATACAATGTTTCAACATATTATAATTTCTCAAGAAGACTATGATCTTCAACCTGATGAGAACCGCATTCAGACATTAAAATGCTTATTTGTAATGTTTAACAATTACATCATCAAATTAAGAGAATTTCACGAGCCGTACGAATGGACAGAGTACCCCGATTTATTAATGGTTCAATTTGAAGATGGAGTACAACTACCACTACACATAAATATAATTCATGCATTTATTATTCTCCTAACATATTCAAACAGCAGCATGGTGGAGTCTGTTCCAATTCTTGATTATTGGTTTCCTCCAGGTCGACCCGCACCGGTAGCGTTTTTACCCACTATGCCTCAAGAACAAATTCAGCTTTTACCGGATTGGCTGAAACTCAAGATGATTCGTTCATCGGTAGATCGCCTAATAGAAGCTGCTTTAAATGATCTTACACCGGATCAGATAGTGTTATTTGTGCAAAATTTTGGAACGCCGGTAAACTCAATGTCCAAATTATTGGCAATGCTTGATACTGCAGTATTGGAGCAGTTCGATCTTGTTAAAAACGCTATACTAAATAAAGCGTATTTAGCACAGCTAATTGAAATACAACAAGCCAGAGGAGCTAAAAATGGTCACTACACTGTTCAAGCACTAGACTTGCATTCACATTCTCAAACCGTTCCTGATCTTCCAAAAATAAACTCGCAAAATCAGGAAAACCTACAAATTACCCATTATGACATAGATTATGTTAATGACTCAAACTCTAGTAGTTCACAAAAGGAGATAGTAACAGTTCTTCTGAAAAGTCCAAATCAGAATATGATTTCTACCAAAGACTATCGAATATTAATTCATAAATTATTAGACCTTGTTGTTTGTCCAGCAAAAAATAATAGTGAATTCATAACGTCAATATGCGATGTTGTTAATCAGTCATCATTTGATTATACACGAGCTGAAAAACACAATAACTTTATAAACGTGAGCCGGGGCGCTTCCAGTTTACTAAGAGCATGTTTTAGCTGTAAGCTGTCCAGCGATACCTATCATGTTATGAAAAAAAAACTGAAACAAAATAGAATTTCAAACCCATTAATTGCAACTTCGAAGTTGTTTTTTAAAACAGAATTGTTTCTAAATAGTTTATTATTTATGCTAAAAAGTTCATTTCAAATATACTATATAAAATTAAAAGCGCAAATTGGTTTATTAGAAACAAAAAAAGTGGTCAGAGAAATGATTCAAGATTTTGAAAATCTTTGTAACGATACAACATTTTGCGTCAATCAAAATAATTACAAGATTTTCAATAATGGATTATTTATAGACTGGCTTGCTGAAGCAGATCCCGAAATTGTATGTACAAAACTTTTAAAGGAAAGTTTTTTGTTTTCTAAATCTTGTAGTGAATTTAGATTTTTTCTTTTGTCCCTAATAAATCACCAAACAAATTGGAATACAATCGAAAGAATTGCCCTATGTTTATTTAAAGATTATAAACTTGACTACGACTTTAGTACCGTGCTTAACTATTTTGAAGCTCTAACCACAAATCCAAATCTCTGGAAAGGCAGGGATAAGTACATGTCGAAAAATGTACAACCAAATTCCTTTTTTAAGTTGGAGCCTTCGGAACTAGAGCCCTTTGTGCACTTTGTTTTGTACGAAGGAATCGAAGAGGTAAAAACAGATACGAATAATAACTACGATTTCAAGTTATGCTCCCGAATGAATCTTTTGTTTAAGCTCACAGAAAAAAATAAAGGTTTAATGGTTAAAGTTATCAAGTACGTGGAAAAAAGTTTAATTCCGGATTTTTTAAAACATAAAATTTTGCAACAGCTTTATATAATGTATCCACGCATAAAATTTGTAAAATGTTGTAGAGCTGATGTCCAAACCCATAAACTACAAAGTTTAAAGGGCTGCCAAGCTGATAAAATATCAAATAATTTAATAACATGCTTGGGAAGTCTTATAGCTAAAAAGGATTTCGAAACATTATCAACTGATACAGAACTCTTATTGCGAAAATTGGCTGCATCACATCCATTACTCTTTCTTCGTCATTTGGGTGTATTATCTTCAGTAATGCAAGGCAGGGGACAAAATAGCATGAAAGCTTTACGAGAAGAACACCATTTTCATCGATTTGTACAGATATTAAGGACGTTGGAACTATTGCAGCCAACTATTTTTGAAGATGCATATAAAAATGAAATCCAAACAACTCTATCATGTTACTTTACTTTTTTTAAACATCATAGCTCAGTTAAAGAGGCATGTCAGATGCTTGTAAAATTTGTGCAGGTATTACAGTCATATATAAACTGTAATCCCTCAAGCGCATTGTTATTTATTGAGCAATATGTCGGGATTCTGACAGAACTAGCATTCAAGTATCCTTCAATAGTAAAACTACAAGTACTTGTGCAAGCTGTTGCCTTGCTTCAGCACAAATCTTATACGTCTTCAGAACTTGATGACGAAGAAGGGAAATTTGAATATGAACTGGATTACGATACCAAATCGAACATAAAAATGTTTGCAAACGAAATAGAGTCTTTCGATGGAAGCACAAATGTTCAAGATGTGTGCAGAGTTTCCTTTCCAGCATTGACCCTTGGTTCGTACTGCAAAGAAAATTGTACTGATGTTTCTCCGCATATTATGGACTTAATTAAAATAATTAAGCAGTCTAATATTGAAGATGTGATACTTGGACCGCTACAGGAAATGGAATGTTTGACATCTAAGCGATTTGTATTTATAAATGAGTTATTTGAGCGTTTATTGGAGCTAATATTTTCACCAAGCGCACAGATTAGGTCCATTGCCTTTATAATATTAATAAGACATTTAAAGCACAACCCTGGGAATTCAGATGTTAATCAGTGTACTTTAAACGCATATATTCAGTGTTTAAGAGATGAGAATTCATCTGTTACAGCAACTGCCATTGACAATCTTCTTGAAATATGCATATTGTTACAAGAACACGCTGTTGAAATTTTATGTATCGCCTTTTCCCTTGGTATTAAATCTTGCCTAAATACAAACAATCAAATACGTAAAGTAATGCAAACATTAGTAGTACAACATGGATATTAACTTTTTGGTTCTTCAAAATATAAACCCGGGGCTAATACAATAAAAATATGTTTGAAGAAGTTATAGTATGTATGTAGTATATTTTATTTCATAAGGATGTGCGATTTATGGAATAGGAAAAGATAATAAAAAATAAGTTTTAAAATATTGAAAAACATAAAAATATATTATTATATATAATATTGCTGAATTGTATTGAATGGCCGTTACTAAAATGTTTGAAAATACGCCTTTATTTAGCTGGCTCGTTGTCCGATTTTTATTTTATTAAAATCAATCAACAATTTTGTTTTACTGTATATTTTTTCGATGTTTTTTGGTTGCGCCTGGGCAACCGTCTTCAGTGCAATTATCTTACACGTCTGAGCACTTTGACGTGGGGGTTGATACTTTTTAAAAAATGTGATTTGAGATAAGAAGCCACGAAAGAAACACTACCCAGATTCACCTAACAATAACGGATGCAGCAGACGTCATTACTGACGGTAGTGGCAGAATAAAAATCCCAACAACAACGGAAGCAGCATATAACGTCAGCAACGACGGAAGCAACTGAAAAATTTTTACAACACAAATCAACAGAAGCGGGTAAAATCGTCACCACCGGAAGATTAGAAACAGCAACAACATAATCAGCTTATAAGAAATAAATAAGAGCATGTAAGTAGACCGCTCATTGTTAACCTATAAGTTTAAATTGCAAACAAAGCTATTACAAAGCTAAAGTCCCAATCTTCGTTTAGTAAAAACAAATTAAAATAAAAGAAAGTACCATGTGAGTGATAGTAAAATAGAAAAATTACTGGAAAAATTAAACAAATGCAGCAGTTAATACTGCATACAAAGCCAGTGCAAAGTGTAAAAATCGGACAAAAAGAATTAAATATGACAATGTCTATAGAACAACTGCAGACATTTCTAGAAACAGCAGTTAATAATACGCTTACCGCTCAAAAGAGGTGTTTTAAGGAGCAAATACAAGATTTAAACCAACGTTTAGGCGTTGGAACTCCTAAAGTAGAAGCATATAAAGACGCGGAAATTCCATTAACGGTGCTGTAGTATACCTTAAGTCATTGTAAAAGCATTGCCAGATTTTAAGGGCAATATTAGACAAATTCATATGTGAGAAATCTGCACACTGCTTATGAAACTTACGAAATATATGACGCTAGCTCAAAGCATTATGAGAAACAAAATTAAGAGACCAGATAACATGGTACTAGCGTCATTCGATACGCCTTTAAATTCCATAAATCAATAAATTGGCTTGACTTCACTTATGCGCCCCATATATTTAATAGAACTACAAATGTCGACGCTTCCGCTCCTGACACTTCTGCAATACTAAGACAACAATATAGCTATCGCACTTAACGAAAAGCTACGTGTATTTATTTCGGGAACTTCGAAATCGTTAAGAAACTTCTGTTTTCGGCGTGACTGAAAGATCTTCCTTCTGCTTTGACCTTAGCCCAAGCGGTCGAATCTAATCACGAACGTTACACGTTCGCCAGCCATTATGCTAAGGGGCTCAAAGGAACGAACAGACACAACAGCTCAAAGATAGAGCCTCTATGGTAGAAAATGGTAGTACCCTTCACGGCAAAAGCCCCCATTTTAATAGGCGACAAGGAACTCAATGTTGCCCCTCAAAAACAGGAACAACCGAAGTTTATGGATGTAGTTTTACGCTAACCACACAACAACAAAATGTCCAAGATAATACTTTTAATAGCCAGGGTCAAACAGAAAAAAGGCCGAGCAGTGGAATTGCAAGTAAGCCAAGAACCGAAACACAAAAAAACAAATCATCTGACCCATGACTTTACCCCACTTGATTAAGAAAAACTAATTTTTCTAGACACAAATCCCTGCTACCTCTGACGATCACATATTTAATAAGTCTGTGAACGAAAATTACGTCGCTAATGTATTTTCATGGCAAAACATTCACGCTTTAGAAGAAGATGCTCAGTCCGATATTGCCACAAAACACAATGAGTTAACACTCGCATACACTGTCAAATCAAAAGTCAAACCAGTCAACTGCTTTCCAAACCAAATAATAATAGAAGAAATGTTATTATGTTAGGCGAAAAAGCTCGTCATCTCATACATTTCTCGGATAGAGAAACGCTCATTTAGAGGGTATGTGACGTTATCAAGAAGTATGCAATAAACGCAATTTTCTGTAAGCTTCCAATATTAGCTTTTGTTCAGCATAAGTTAGTAGAAACATTTCCGACCTCAACATTAAACACACAAAACACATGGTAACCGATATTTTAAACAAAAATGAACAGAAAGAAATAGTTGTCACGGAACACAGAGAGCCCATACGGCCGATCAAAAAACTGTAAGACAGATTCTCTTGAATTATTTTTTTCCGAAGATGACCCAACTAGCAAACGAAGTTGTGGCAAATTGCGAAATATCATTGCCACGTTCAGAAGAACTTACTTGGAGAAACACATATTCTATTACATATAGGCGAAGACAAAAGTTACTTCCTTACCTGTACACCCCATTGCTTCCAGAAAAATAGTGGACAACACAATCAGCAATCTTGCAGCTAATTAATAAATCTTTACATTGAAATCACTTTTAAATAATCGATTTAACGTTCAAATTGTAAAGCTACACTGCTTCCTAGTACTTCGAACTGATAAGTAGGAAGATTCCACAGTATCCTTGTTGAAATCGCACGCTGTCTTCTGGCGACCATTAAATACAATCAAACTTAGTTACAAACAAATGATATATCGACATAATCCATTCATCTCTCCCAGAGCTCTACGCAGAATTCAGAGATTTCGTCATTAAAGCAGAGAATATCCAAATGCAAGATATATTAATAGACTGGGAAATACACTTACACTTTTGTACAATGCTAAGACAGTGGATGCAGACTTGGGACCACAGTCCTAATTAAAGGGAGGGAGGGTGGTTCATAATAAAATAGGTAAAATAGAATTTTTTTCTACCAGGATCTGGACTTTGCTAATTCTTGTAATGACAACGGTCTTTTGAGTGAGGGACGATAATTTGGAAAGATTTTCAATATTTGATGCACTCGACTAACTTGACAATGTACGCAGAAGTGACAAGCGAAAACAGAGATGTTGAAGAATCGTTTTCCTCAATTGCTTATGAGACAGATACCAGACTCGGACATACGACACATGATAACGCTCCTCAACACGCTAGATGCATCAATCTATTAGGCACCGTTTTATTTATTTTATATTTGTTTTTGGTTTTAGGTTGCCACACTTTTTTTTTATTTTTATTTCGCTGCCTACCTTACGGAAGAAATCGCCAAGTCAAAAATTCCAACGTACTCGTGGTCTTATATGGTGATGCTGCTGCACGTTAAAAATTTAGTTAATTCTTTTTTTTATTTTTTGGTGTTAGGTTGCCACACGTGTCCAGTGTGGGATTATTTGGCCGCCCGCCTTACGGCGGTAATTGCCAAGTCAGAAATTTGACGTAATTGTAGTCTTGTGGCACAGAAACTGTGCAAAAAGCACGTACAACTTTCTTCTAGCTCGCGCTCTCTAACCTTCAGCTTATACGCATCTAGATATTAACTTTTTTGGTATATAATAAATAAAGCACTATTGCTAAATCGAGATATTTTACTTGTGTTAACGGATGTAGAATTTTACTATTAAGTTCCATCCAAATAACCAAATTGGTGACCCCCGACAATAACCAAAGTATGCGCAACTCAGGAGAGATGGAGCACCTACTCAAATTGCAATCATCACCAACAGGCATACTTCAAGATCATACTAAAGTTTTCGCCAATTCAATTTAGAATTAAAAGCTAATTGACACACTCATACATAGCTTTGCTACGACATACTCACACAAAGAGAGACATTTTGCGCAGTTCCACGAAATACATGGCGCTTAAAATACAAAATGGAGGACGAGAATAATGCTAGCGCTCACATTGAGAACAGCAATGTAGGAGCTGCAAACAATGTAAATTCTGTTTTCGGCGAGATGCCTTTTCCTTAACTACACACGGTTACAGACATTGAAATGTTTTTTACAAAGCTAGAAAGTTGGTTTCTTTTACAAGGCATAGGCTTACGAAAGAAACTTAAGAAGTACGCAGCCATCATCACATATGCGGATCCCAAATACTTAGATCAAGTTCACGATCTTGTTCAAAATGAGCCTCAAACAAATCCATACACTACACGCAAACAAGCCATCCTGGCAAAGTTCGCTGAGTCAGAGATGACCTGCTTCGACAAACTTGCCACTGGCATTCAACTTGGTGATGGACGTCCAAGCCATCTCCTCAGCCAACTAAAGCAAACCAACGCTAATAACGACGAATCAGTTGTACGTCGTTATTGTATTTAACGCCTGCCTCCTGCAGCTCGCGCTGTCATCGCAGGTATTCTTGAGACTTCCTCGAATACAACACTATCGCAACTTGCAACAGCCGCTGACGCCGTAATGGATACACTAAGTTATACTTCATGTGAAAACGTCGCAGTGCTTTCCCGTAACTACACTGCAACTGAGCATCAAATGGACAACCGCATCAGTACGATAGAAAAACGTCTGGATGCCCAGGACATAATGTTTCAAAAGATCAATACAAAACTTGGTCAGCTGCTCAACAGCAAAAACAACAACGGAAATCGACGCACTCGCAGTCGCAATCAATTACAAACCAGCCGCAGCAATGCACCGAACGCACAGGCCGATTCAAATCAAAATTGCTGGTATCAGAACAAGTATGGCTGCAGTGTCCAACACTGCATTGCACCATGTTCCTTTAATCGAACAAACACCAATAACCAAAAAAACTAGCAAACACCGTCGAAGAAAATCAAATTGGCCACTTCGACGGCCAATCTGTTCATGCCATAAACAATTTTTCCGAGCTTAGTATAAACGTTCACAGTATAACAACCTCTAATCGACTATTTACTCCAGATACAAAGTCTGGTGAAAAGTTCCTTATCGACACTGGCGCTGATGTGTCAGTCATACCTTCTGCAGCCATAAGCCGACGTTTCTTAGCCACCAGCGAAAACCCTCTTTTTGCTGCTAACGGCACTACCATTAAAACATATGGCTCAACCCGTCTCACTCTCGATCTT